GTTTGGATTACTTTTGAGGCCTTTTTATATCCTGAACCAGTCTTACAACAACGCGGGTTAATTCTTCCAGTTGTTTTTAAAAATGTTAGTGTCGACAGGATACGACATCTCTCTCCGAGACAAAGTATGTTTGTAATTTCTTTTCTTTCAGATATTCTGTTCCGTATTATTTTATAACGGATAAAATAATGCCCATAATAGGGGAGATTGAAAACTGTGAGAATATTTTTTCTTCCATAGCTCACACATTAATATTAATTCATTTCGAAGGACAAAACTCATAAAGAATAACTTGGACAGATTTTAAAATGTGAATTAAGTTTAAGCGTCTAATGAATTTTTTCTTTTTCTTTCACATTTAACAACTTAAGTCTTTGGCAATTTCAACCATGGAAAGATTAACAATCAAACAACGTGTTAAAGTTATCAAAGCATATTACGAAAATGAACGTTCAAACAGAATTGGAATGACAAGTTCCCAGGTCGCATCATCTCTCGAAACAGCGAAGTCAATTGGCCACCAGGATCGTGCGGCTTGACGCCTTTAGATTTCTTCCTTTGGGGTCATCTCAAAAGTAATGTCTATGCCAAGAAGTCAACAACAATTCAACAGCTGAAGGATGCGATAATAAAGCATGTTAGTGAGATCGAGGAGCAAATATGCAGAGACGTCATCAAAAATTTTGATCGTCGAGTGGAGGTGTGTCGCCGAAGCCTTGGCGGACATTTGGGCGATATTATATTTCACACATAATTGCCATGACTTAAGTAACATGATCAAATAGAGAAATAAATAAATTTTCACCAATAACACTGATTTATTTACTGCTGACTTTGATCCGTCTTAATGAAACACCCTATACATAGGAAATTTTGCCGTTTGTGTGTGTGAGGGGACTTCAACCGATTCCAAATTGACAGTAATTGAACTTCAATGTGAAAATGGAGTTTCTTCATACTAAAATTTATTTTGTTGCCTTATGAAAAGGAAAATAAGAAATTGCTGGATTTCATAACTGTTCCTTTACAGTTTTTTTTGTAATCTTCTCCACGTCTGTTCTGTTCTCTTAATTTAATTTACCATTGTTATCGCTCATCTGCAACAGTCACTGAAGTACTAACTAGTATGTATATTATGACATTTAATTTTATTCACGCATTTTGCGATATCAAAACTCACCTGTATACTAACTTGTGCGTTATTAATTATTTACTGCTGACCTGCGGCTTTAACACGGAAGAGAGACTGGAAAAAAAGTGGGCGTCAACTGTAAGGACCTGTCAGTAATCTTTTTAGACTTCTTTCTTTTTCTTGGTCATACGAGACAGCACGGTAATTACCTGCTCCCTACTATGTCTGAAATTCTTTTCTAAAACACTATGTGTCATTTTATCGTTTATTTGAGTTTGTTCCAAATTGTTTCTTGTTAATCAGTTACCGTTTGAAAAGTATTTCCTTTGTTAATTTCCTTTTGAAAGTTATAATTGTTATTTATTTCTATGTTACGTGATATTTGTCCTCTTGTATGGCAGCGAATGCTGGACAATCTTCTTAAATATAAAGGAGAGACTTGAAGCAACAGAAATGCGGTTCTACAGAAAGACGCTGAAGATACCATAGGTCGAACATGTGAACAAAAACGATGTTTTGGAGAGAATGGAAACGAAAAGGAAACTTATACTTAGTATCAGGTAGAGGCAGTTGAAATTTCTGGGGCACGTGATGAGGAAGGAGGGCTTGGAAAATCTGATACTCACAGGATAGGTTGAGGGAAAAAAGGGAAAAGGGAAAGCAGAGAGTAACATACTTGATGGGCACGAGCAAATGGATGCCAGAATAGGGTTTGGGAAAAAGAACAAATAGATAAAACTTATTAAGAGCTACAAGGGACAGAAAGTTGTGGAGGACCATGATCACCTACGTCTTGAAGGGACACGGTACATAAAAGAAGGTGAATTCTGAGTTGATTCGTCGATAAAGAATAAGACATCAATATGAAGTGTGGACCTTTTCAATGAGATCAGCGTGTAGGTACAACTGATCTTTTTATATTACTGTAATAAAAAGTGACCGAGTGGTAAGAACGTTCAAATTCTGACCATGAGTCCCAGGTTCGAGTCTCACCACGGTCGATTTGTCAGGAAAGTGACTTTTTTTTTCTTTTTACAGTGAGAGCCACCTTTTACAAGGCCCGGGGACACTCGAGGTAGAGGGTTACATTAGGGGGCCATTTATGTGTATAAGTGAGGGAGATAACGACTAACTCTAGCCATGAATAGGTTAAGTAGTTCGCGGGAAGAAGCTGCTCGAGTGGAATTTACTTCTCACCAATGGATTATGGAGGGAATGTGGGTGGTTTGATATGATGGAAGTGGCATAGTCATGTTCTTGCTGTGAAGGTTTACCTTGGCGGGACCAGGAAATGTAGCTCGTCTGAGCACTTTCCGTGGAAGGAACTGTAGAGCAGCGAGAGGCTTGCAACATCCTGCCTGTGGAAGAGTGGAGAATAATTCGTCACCCACAAGGTCTCGGAGACACTTTTGAACTCTATCAAGGCTGGGAAGTTAGGCTTAGGAAGCTTCTTTATCGTATCGTCTTATGGCCAGTAACATTGAAACATCGTTTCTCGTACGATCTCCGAAGTTAAGCAACGTCAAGCTAGGTGTGACCGCTTGGGAATATCGGGTGATGTAAACTTGGATGAGCGAGTGGTGTAATGGATAACGACTTACTTATATTACCAGCAATACTTTTTTTGTCAGAATTAACTAACTCATTGAGGTTGATATGCCGTAAAACAAAATAAACCAACCCAATCTAAACCAAAGAATACATACTCTATTCATACGAATCTATCCTAAAAATGTTGTCGGCATTAAATAACCCATTGAGGTGTTGATATGCCGTAAAACAAAATAAACCAGACCAAACTCTTATCACTCTCAGCTATGGTTAAATTAGTATGACTTGTATCAGTAAATCATTATTATCTCAAAAAGTCTTACAATCTAAAAATATTATTTGGCTTTAAATAACCTGTAGAACGTTGATAAGCCGTAGAAAGTAAATCAATCCATCAATCAATCTTGATGTTATCGGTGTGGGGAAGCGATCCCAGAACGTGGCACCGTTGAAAATTGTTCGAAAACTATACCTCACGTGTTGTAAGTGAATTTGGGTAAACAGAATTGTTCGTTCGTACGCGAGTCACAAGTCATCGTGATCGAGGGTTTGAGCGTACTGACGTTGTTCAAATTGTTTATTACCCCAGATGATGTGCCCTCTCCCAGAAATTATTACTAAGGCTAAGGCTCGATCAGCATAGTTGCAGTAGAAACCACAGCTGGGTATTGCACAAACATAAATATGTCTGAGCAAGCGTCTGCAATAGGGATTGATCAAATTGTCTAAAAGGGAAACGATGAAAACTGACTACCGGTGTTGAAAGGAAGCAAAAAGAAAAAAAAGATGGAATAATAGTGATTTACTCCGCGTAGCTTAGGCCAATAGTATGGAGTACCCAGTGAGGATCGAAGTCACTAGTCAGTCGTAACTAATGTAGCGAGACAAACCTCCTAACCATTACAACATATAGAAATGCCTAAAGAAAAAAAATATGTATACAAATAGATGTATTACGCACACGCATACATAAATTTTCAAAAATTTAAATGCAATGACAGTCGCTTTCTACTGTCTGCTTGATGACACTTTCTTCTTGTTCCTTAGTAAAATTTCTGTTTTATAATTCTTCCATACTCAGTAACCTCCTTAGCTTGTCTTAGGGGCTTTACTGTCTTGCTTGGGGCGAGATCTATTATGAAAAATGAGGCTAATTAATTCAACTAATATATATATTGATGGAGTTGTATAGTTTTCCATGCCATTAAAGTATAATAAAATATCGAATTGATTTGGGCATAATTAAATTAAAATATCTGCTTATATATATATATATATATATATATATATATATATATATATATATAAAAGGCTCAAACACTAATATTCCATGGTTATAATTTATTACATTGGAATCATAATCACGATCCAATTCATCAGACCTACAAATTCAAAAAGAAATCCATGTTCTTACTCAGTCCTGGACCTTTAGTTCTACCTGGATTCTATCCTCTTGGGAATTTATATATATATATATATATATATATATATATATATTGACCACTAATATTATCTATCTATATATATGTGTGTGTGTGTACGAAAAAATGTCAAGAGGCTTATGCATACATTTAGGAAAATGTTACACACACACATACACACACAGGGTGAACCAAAAGTAGGTGGACAGTCGGTTGTATTAGGTTTATATTTCTGGCTTCAAAAATTTAAATACAATTGTCAGTCGCTTTCTACTGTCCTCTTGATTACTAAGGGGCAAGAACAAAAGAAGAGTAAAGTTTATGTTTTTCTAATTCTTCCGCACCCAGTAACCCCTTGTGTCTTAGTGGCTTTACTGCCTTGTTTGGGGCGAAATCGATTAAAAAAATTCTACTTTAAACTTTTTCTTTCATTCAAGTTCCTCTTCATGTGACATATTGTTCATTCGGAAATGTATCTAAACAGTGTAAACAGTGTTCCTTTCTTAAGTCTATGAGTCAAATTACAACATAATCACTAGCTAAAGAACCCCTACACATTTTTATTTTGAAGATTGATTTTTTTCCTGAGAGTTTGGAGCCAGGCACAATTGAGAGTAAAGAGAAGAACGAGGCAAGTGAAGGAGCAGTTAGGGAGTGAGAGGGGGAAATATAAAACGGTCAAAGAAAAAGAGTGAAAGAAAGTCGAATAAAGTGAAAAAAAGAAAAGAACAAATAAACGTAGAGTTTTAAGAACGTTTTAAATGGAATGAATTAATACCTTAACTTAAAAAAAATGTCACCAACATCGTAATAATAATGTTCCAGCAACGACAATGCTGACGAGTCACCTTAGGGCGACGTGATAAAGACGAAATGGCCAGAGAAAGTATGTTTGTTTAAGAAAAAGAAAAAAAAAAGAAGAGCAACAAAATGGAGGATAAATTGAGTGAACAAAAAGGAGAGTAATGAAAAGAGGAAAGGAAATATTCAGAATGGAATGTTATGTTTGTATATGTGTAAAAAGAAAATAAAGAAAAAGATTGATGGCTAACAATGAAAAAGAGAGAGAGAGAGAGAGAGAGAGAGAACTGGATCAATACGGTGTATACAAGAGACATAGAATGTAAGAGTGATAAGTAAAAGAGATTTAAATTGGCTTGGATAAGAAAAAGAATTATGTGGGATAAAAAAGAAAGAAATAAGTTATACAGGGTTAGTCAACATTCACAAGAGAAATGAAAAAGGGAACGATAGATTTTTTTTCAAGATAGACGAGAGTTTAAAACTGGAGAAAGCAACACTTAAAGTTGGTTAACAATCAGGAGAGTGAAAAAAGGGACAACGAAGTAGGAGGGGGAGAAAGATAAAAAGAATGGCATGAAATGTCTTTGAGAAAAACGGGTAATAATGATGATGATGATGATAATTGTGATGATGAGAAAGTAAAAATTAAGACATATGTGACAATGTGAGTGTTTGTAAAATTGGGAATAAAAGAGAGGCACTCAACGGACGAAGAGAGGAAAATACGTCAGTTGAAAGACGGTTAGTGAAATAAGAAAATATAGAAAATATTTTTAATGAAATGGCAATAGATATGACAAAAAGGCGACGAAAGTAGATAGATGGAGAGATAGATATGAACAGAATGAGAGGTAGATATGGACAGAATGAGATCGATAGATATGGACAGAATGAGATCGATATCTAGATAGCTAGCTAGATATGGACAGAATGAGATAGATATCTAGATAGCTAGCTAGATATGGACAGAATGAGATAGATATCTAGATAGCTAGCTAGATATGGACAGAATGAGATAGATATCTAGATAGCTAGCTAGATATGGACAGAATGAGATAGATATCTAGATAGCTAGGACAGAATGAGATATATCTAGATGGACAGAGACAGATATGACAGAATGAGATAGATATCTAGATAGCTAGCTAGATATGGACAGAATGAGATAGCTAGCTAGCTAGATATGGACAGAATGAGATAGCTAGCTATATATATATGGACAGAATGAGATAGCTAGCTAGCTAGATAGATAGATATATATGGACAGAATGAGATAGCTAGCTAGCTAGCTAGATAGATATATATGGACAGAATGATAGATAGATAGATATGGACAGAATGAGATAGATAGCTAGATATATATGGACAGAATGATATATATATATATATATATATATATATAGATAGATAGATAGATAGATAGATAGATAGATAGATAGATAGATAGATAGATATGGACAGAATGAGATATATAGCTAGCTAGCTAGATAGATATGGACAGAATGAGATATATAGCTAGATAGATAGGGATAGAATTATATTGATATGGACAGAATGAGATAGATAGATAGATAGATAGATAGATATGGACAGAATGAGATAGATAGATAGATATGGACAGAATGAGATAGATAGATAGATAGATAGATAGATAGATAGATAGATAGATAGATAGATATGGACAGAATGAGATAGATAGATAGATATGGACAGAATGAGATAGATAGATAGATATGGACAGAATGAGATAGATAGATAGATATGGACAGAATGAGATAGATAGATAGATATGGACAGAATGAGATAGATAGATAGATAGATAGATAGATAGATAGATAGATAGGAAATGTCTCCAGAGAGAAAAAGAAAAGAGGGTGTCATTTTTGACACGGTAACAAAGATGGAAGAAAAGAAATCTAACGAAGGAGAGTAAGGAGGGCATCGGGGTGGTCAGTGCGCGGGGATGTGTAAGAATTGACGAGGCGACAGTGAAGAAGGAAAAAAAAATAGAGTGAGGTGGCTTGCAAAAAAAGAGAGTAAGTAGACAGACGGAGCGGGCTGGTGTGGATGAAAAAAAACACAGAAGAAAACAAAAAAAAAAAAAAGAAAGAAAGAAAGAACGTGTGGAAGAACAACTGTAGTAAGGAGGAGAGTACTTCTGGCTTGGTTAGCCAGAAAAAGCGGCGAAGACATCGGAGGCTTATAGTACTCTTTCTCTCTGTTCGGTGTGCGTGCACTTTTGGGCGCTCTTCAAAGCGGGGAGGTACAAAACTGTGTGCGTATGCATGCGTTCATTTCAACATGGCAGCCATGTGGATTGCTGTCGGCGGCCGCTCCTCGTCTTTGTGGTTTTGCTGTTCGGTTCGGCCCTCCACCGCTGATTTCAACTAACCAACAACAACCAGCAAAGTACGTTGCTACTACCAGTGTTAGTATAACGCTACTGTCATAGTCTTTCTTTACGGTCTCTCGATGCCTCAGTCTCTTCTTTCGCTTGACCTGCTAGTAGTAGTAATATTTACTACTTAATGTTTGACTGTCTTATCATGATTTATTTTTACGACTGAAAACTATCTTAAGTGGAGGCATACTACTACTACTACTAATAATAACAACTCCACCACACGCATATGTATTTGCTCTTTTCATTGTACACATGCTTAAAAGGAATAGGAATTGAGTGTGTACCTAGGGAAGATATTCTAAAAGTCAAAATATACGACTGGATTTTTTTGTCGAATGATCAAAGGCACTAAAAACGGTTACTGGATTTGTAAAGAAAGAGTAACTTAGAAAAAAAAAAAGCCCCCAAAAAACTGAAAAATTAAAGACCAACTTAAAAACAAACGAAACAAAAAAAAAAAACGTTGGCTTTCATTCTCTTTTTTAAAGTTTTTAGTATTCATGAAACGATTTCAACGTGATCAATGAGTTATTTAATAATAATACCATTTAAAAGGTTCTGCCGCACTTATCGGAAATCCAACGTGTTGAAATGAAATACTTATTCCTCAATTTATCAATGAGAAAAAAATCGCAAACCGCGAAAAACAGGATTTATATGTTTCCATAAGACGAGACATCAGTGATGGTAAGTATAGTTTTTGTCTTGTGAACAATGAAAGTTTAAAACAATAATCATTATATAAGGAATAATTGTCATTTTTAATTATTCTTTAAAATAACGATTGAAATCTTAATTACATAACTTATACAAACTAAAAATACTTATTTTATTTTTGTTAATTTACTCCTTAAATTTTTGCCAGTAAATTATTTATAAACAATCTCTAACGTAGTTTTTTTAAATAGCTTTTTTTTGTACTTGTAATTTCTTAAATGTTTTAACATGAACTAAAACACTAAAAATCAAATAAATTCATTCCTATTTAAATGTTTTTTGTCGATTTTATTAAATTTGTACTACACACATAAATTGGTCGTTAGAGCATTGGGTTGGAAGCCACGTGGTTTTATAAGTTCAACCTTCTCTTGTCCTTTTTAAGCTCATAATCAACAACTAAGGGAGAAAATGCTGACTTGAAATTGGGTATGACAAAGCCCCCCCCCTACTTTGATTGGCCATTCACCTTTTCATAAAAAAAAATCTCTTCTCCCTGAAGCAATAATAATAATAGAATAACATTTATTTCGGAATTAAAAAGTGCTGCATTGTTTTTAATTTGTCCGCCGCTCTTTTCCAACAGGTAAAAAAAAAATGAAAGGAAAATAAATCTAATTATGTTTATGTTGCCAGGAGAAAGCTGAAAGAATCCCTTAATGTTTTTGTTTATCCAGTGGATTATTAACACCATTCCCCTCTTCTTTGCCGTAAAAGTAAAACGTATTGTTGTAGTATTGTAGACTAGAAAAGCTATAATTTCTTTCTTCGTGGTCATATGGTCTAGCAGATAAAATATTTCATTCATATCTTTTTTTTTTTTTCTTTCTGTAATCTTAGTGAGAATAAAAAGGTAAGATGGTAAAAAAAAAATAAAAAATGTGGGCGTGGGAAGAGTTCTTAATTATGTGCAAAAAGGCCTCTTCTTCATTTACGTTATATTTTTATTTCTTTTGTTTAATTTCATTGTGTAATTTCCGATTAAGGACTTTTCTTACCTTAATCCACTTTTCAAAATTTTCTTTTATTACCATTCATTTGTATATATGCACTAACAACAATTTGGTTAGAAATCAATTTCCAAGTTGTTGGGGGCACTAAAGAAAATTGACATAAAAATATTTTGATTTAAGATTAATAATTTTCAAATTTATAGTTTATAGCTTATTTGTATGCTTTGTGTTAAAGTTGTCATCATTCGAAAGTTCTTTTTTCATGTGTGTTTTGTTGACTTTTGATCGATGTTTTCAGCTCTTTCTTTTCTTTACCGTAAAAAATGTGATGCTTTTCAAAGCGCAAAGGCTTTAGCATATTTCTTACATAGATTTCATTTCAACATCCTCCTCTTTTAAAAGCCATCAGAATTTGAGAGCATGTTAAAAAAACAAAAAAAAACACCCCCCCCCAAAAAAAAACAAACCTTTCTGGCAGTAATCTTGATCTACTCGAGACCAAAAACATGTGACTATGAAACATGTTGAAAAAATGTCAGTAATACTGGCACTTGTATGGTTTCTTTTTATTTCATATGATCGAACTCTGAATATCGATCGATTGATTGAACTTTGGACAAGTTTGTTTATTTTTATTTTTTTCTGTGTACACTGTTCGACTCTGTCTGGGTCAGTGTCATTGAATTTGACTGCTTCTAACTCCCGAATTATCAATCATATTTCAATCAAGTCTAATCTCCTAACGGCTTTTCATATTCAAGCTTTTTAAAAATTTATTTATTTTCCTCTTACTGATGTGCTCAAAGTGAAAGAATATTTTGTTTCGTGTGCGACACGAGCCTAATATATATATTTTTTTTTAATTGTTATTACTTTACTTTCCATAAAGCTCTACTTTATTGGCAATTGATAAGCGAGGTGATATTTTTTTTTTTTTTTTTTTTTACTTACAGTCGACATTCTTGTAAAACAACGAACATGCCTAAAGATATTAATTTTAATAAAATTACTTAAAAAAAAAAAAAAAATCATTTGTACATTGTGTTCGTTTAATTAAATTTATTTGCTCATCAAGCATTGAACTTGACGTGTATTGATTGAATAATGAATTTGTTGCGAAACATTTGTTTGAACAGAACACCTATTCAAAATACGGCATAAACCAAAAGACCTTTGCTTGATTCTATTTGAATTTTATACGAAATTCTTTTTGGCTAATTGAACAATTATTAATTAAAAAAAACTTTAGAAAAATTTTGTTTTGGGAATATAGCAAGTCGTCCCGAACAAAATTCACGTAAGGTCCATTACAGAAGTGGTTCCAAAGCATTTTTCATAAACAGACAAAAAAAAAAAAAATACAATCTTTAATTTCAAATCCGATTTTACGCTGTCATTTCAAAGTTTTTTGTTTTTTACCAATAATTGATATGGCTGATAAAATTGTGACATTATCCATTGTGTTCTTTTCTTGTTATGGAGATTAAATTTGGTTATGAAAATTTTAGCATAACTTATTTGTTGGAGTTAAAGAAAATCTTATCCTCTTCAAATCTGGTCAAGCAACATTTGGAAGGTGTCTTCAACATTTTTCTCCTCAAGATTGTTTTAACCACTGAAATTCCTGGCCAATTCTAAGGTATATTGATTTAGAGAAATTATTTTTTTTTTTTTTTTTTTAATAACTTCTAAAGAATTGATAACTGCTTGTTTTCTCTATCCTTGCATATAAACTCAAACAAATTTGCGATAAGATGGCACTGCTCTTCAGACGTTTACATTTTGCTTTAATTTTGTTTAAGTAATAACTGAATGCATTCTTCTTCTGAGACAACGATCTGAAGAGGCTTTTTTTTTTGTATTCGATTCGTTCATAGTCGATCAATTGAAGAAAGTGTTCTCTATTGTCACTGCGATGTTCTCTTTCTCTTGTTATTCACGTATATCTACTTGTGACTGTCAACATTGGTATGTTGGCAGGGAAAAAACAAAACAAAAAAAAACACTGAAAGTTCCTTAAACAGCGATTCGTCGCCCCCGTTTCAGACTGAGCAAATTCCTTGTGTGAGGACATCGCCATTTTTTGTGACAGCTTTTTAAAAGAAATATTCCTAAACACCCAATTTCGTATAGAACATTTCTTAGTATTGGCGCTATTAAAGTTTCACTTATTTAATTTACTACATTGACATCTGAAAATAATTAGAAGAAATCTTTTAGCTATAATTTGTTTGAATTGAATAAAATATAAATAAGTGTTGTAATATAACACCATTAAAAGACAGCTTTTCTATCAATGACTAAATATTTTGCATGGATAATAGCCAATATATGTAATACTATTATTAAAACTTGGTTTTCTATAATAGAAACTTGGCTCATTCGTAAGGAAAAGGAACCACATACAGCTTAAATTAAAAAGCATAACTTTTTGTGTTCAATTTGATTGTAAACATTTCTTTAGGATCAATTCAATTTAAAATATAAACTACGGAATCTTCTCTTTTACTCTTAACATCTGAATTTCTTTTGAAAGTGGTATTTGTTTTATAGTCTGATTAATTAGAAAAAAAGTCAGAATTAAGCGCAAACATTCACTCATGTGGTTGTTACTGTAGTGTTTGGGAAACCTGATGCTTGAAAAAGACACTGCGCAAATACATATATTAGTTATTTCCCCATAAAGTATCCATCCAGTGTTATTGTGAAGTAGTTCATCTTTATCATTGAGTATTTTATGATTCCACCAATCTGCTATTGCTAGGTTACTTGAGAGATTTGTCCAAATTTTCAATGCCTTCAATTCGTTTCATGCAAAATCTTGACCAATCTGATTGGTTAATAACAGACCTTTTGTACTATAGTTGCTATACTCCCCTTGAGTTATAGAAGTAAGAAAACCCTGAAAATTGACTTCCCTTGAACCTGTCATAAGATTTTTCAAGTGAAAGAAATTGAAGGATTGTTGTTAAACAAGGCTGTTGCATATCCACCTTTTTTTTTCTACTTTCAACGTGTGGAATTCTCATAGTTACCTGTTTGGTACTGAATAAACTCGGTATTGATTGTTTAGTTGACCTGTGTGTGTAGGGAGAAGGGAAATGTAACTGATGCTGTGATTGTGCAATACTATAATTGTGTAGATTTGGATAATGTTTTGGAGGTGGTCTCTGTAGGCAAAGAATCTTGGTATTTATGAACTGCTTTAGCAAACCTAAAAACTCCGAAAACTGGATATGCGTAAAAAAGGTAGGTTGATTTTGTAGTTGAGTGGTAGAATATTGGTAGTCTTTGCGCCCCAAAATTTAGTTTAGCGAGGGCTGGCTAACGGTTAACCAATTTAAGAGAAACTCTTTAAGACTCTTCGTAAAAAAAAAAAATCTCAAACTTAACAAATCTAGAAACAATTATACTGTTTAATTGTAATTGACAGAAAAAAACTGGACTATTTTTTTTCCAAGTCTAAAATGTTTTTTTTCTTTCGTAAGCGTGATAACTGTGGATCAAATTGAAAATTTCCTGAGGTTTCTTTTTCAATATGTGTGAGCCAAAGTTTTAAATAATAATATTAATAATAGTAAAACATCAAAAACAAATTTACTTGGTTTTAAAATCATATTTAAATTCTTACTAACTTATCAAAACATATTCATTTAAATGTTTGATATGTATTTGTTGATCGAGGTGGGGACTTTCGAAATTAACCCTTTATTTAAATTTTAATATACGTGCGTAAATAGTTGTCGTTCTCTTGTCTGTCTAGCAATTTTCTTTTATTGTCACCCCCCCCCCGGGCAATCTCCGTACTACCTGGTCCAAGGCTTGAATTCATAATTTCATGGGCTAGCGTTTTAATCCACTAGGCTATGTCCCGTTTCAAATCGGTCATTTCAATAGCTTAAAGTGCTTTGACATACATTTGATTGTGATATTTTTTCAAACTCTAATGAACACGACAAAAATAAAGGCGGGAACAAACTCTAATGAACACGACAAAAATAAAGGCGGGAAACAAGATCATTTTGTTGTGCAAAGTGAAATCTCAAGATATTTGCTCAAGAAAATAAATGCAATTAAAAACAACAAAAACAATAACAAAACCTTTGCATTCATTATGTTCAATTCAAAGATTTAATCTGTCTTGTAACGATCTGTTTATTAAAGTAGCGGTTGTAAGGTTTGTAATTTAAGTTTGCTTTGAGCTCTTTATTAAAACAGTGATTTCAAAGCGGGTTTTAAAATGTACTAAGTAAAAAGAAAAAAAAATGTCCAGTGCTCAATTGATACTTTCTGTTTGAAGCACTTGATGATGACGGTGGGGGTACAACGGTTAAAACGTAATAACAAAGATGAGCACAACAGTCTGACTATAAATATTTCGGTAAATAATGATAGATATTTGTTTGACTAAAAGTCGACTTGAAAGTAATGTTTTTGCTCTTAGTCGCCGAATAGCAGAGTCCAAAAGTGTGTGTACGTTCATCATTGCAAAGCGTTTACCTGGCTGTTTTGGAAGATAACACAAAAAAATGTACTTGTTCGTATCCTCTGTGTGGTGGTGGTGGTGAAATTAAGAACTTTTTAATGATTATCACTTGTTTTATTTTCAAAACTAACTCTACGTACCTGTTTGGCGTAAAATAATCTTAATGTTTGTATTTCTCTTTCTGCTAAAAATCAAGCTAATTAAGATTCTAACATCTTCGATTGCATTTATGAATAATATATGATGCAAACATGCCTCCCGTAAAGCAATGGTTACTAATCTATTTTAGTTTTAACAAATCGTTCCTAATAGTCTTAGTAAAAACTAAATATCTGGTCTCTCAATTCATAACTGAGATTGGGTTCTTTATAACTTTTAGAATATAAGTCCCATTCACAATATCGATTTACCAAAAGTCTAGTGTAACAAACGAGGAAAATAGTTTTTACCCAATAAAAAGTAAAATCGATAGTGTACTATTTTCCTATCTCTTTTTCTTTAAAAAAGAAAAGCAAACCTTAGCATACATTTGAAGCTTTTGCCATATTTTGTTTAACGTTTCCATTTTTTCTTGGTTACAATAGCAACGTGAATTGATTATTAAATGGCGTTTCTATCAAGTTGTTCGTTTTAGTTTTTCTTTTTTTGTATCACGTAATATCATGGGTTGGATTTACATAAGTTTTGAGTGAGGGCAAGTTTTTATCTACTTGGAAGATATGCTTTTTACAGTTAGAATGATTAGTTATTCATTTAAGGTGTGTGTGTGGTGGGGCACTAGCCAGTTGTGGTTTAGCACCACCTGAATTTAAACCCTGGTATACATTAGCAACACTTTGATTTTTATCTCTTCACTAACAAAGTATTTATAGCGGTGTCGACAAAAAACTTAGATTAAACATCTATTCTAATTTTGCATGTTTGTTTCGGCATAATTTTCCATACTCTGTGACTTGATCAAAATTTAATGCAAATCTTACTGGCAGATTAGGGCAATTATATGCATAATTATTTCAAGTTATCAAAAATGCGAGTTTCTCTATTTGGGCGAATATTTGCTTCAGTCTGCAGCTTTGTAATATGAAATTAATGTGAGAGGATGGGGAAATAACTATAAATTCAAACTGATGCTATTAATTAGATGCTCTACCTTCTGGTAAAATAGGTAACAGACAAACTCACTTCGCAAATATAATCTCCTTTCCGATAAATACAGGATGCGGCAGATATACCCATCACATAATGGCGAGACATAGGCGCTTTGACGGGGTGTAATGGGTAGCAATTACGACAGAGTAGTGAGTTCGATCCTTTCTGGGCGCCCCATACTTTCGGTCTTAGAAAATCACCATAATGGTAAGACATTAACTAAATGAAAACACTATCGCCATTAATGGCTTACCATTATGAGGTATTTTCTTCTGCACCCTGTACGTCAGTAAAATGACTTGGAAATAAATAAATTGTTGTAACGAAGATGAAGAATGTCAAATTGAAATCTGTTTTTGAATCCTGAACGATATTTAGCAAACCTTTTTAAAGGTACCTGATATAGTGCTACAAAAAAAAAATCGTGTTGGTGTGGTTGATCTGATACAATCCAAATAGTGATTTTTCCCAAGAGTAGCTTGGATATGGCACAAGGCCGAAAGTAAGAGGCACACAGTGGGGATCGAACTCACTACTCAGTCATAATTGTTCTAGCGAGACAACTTTGCTAACCATTTCCCCACCGATCCAAATATCTGACACTGGCAAGAATAAAAACGCGGCAAACTTTTATTTTAACAGATGAAAGCATAACATTTTGCATAAGAATTCATTGAGAAAACTAAAATAGCTCTAAGCTGTATTCGAAGATATTTTTCTGTAAACTGAATCCAGTTCAAAGAAGATGAAAAAGTGAATACGTTTGAGTTCTATTCAAAACAACGTCGAAGACATGTTCCTTTCCTAAAGTTATAAAAAAAAAAAAAGGTCAAAGTTAATGTGTCCAGTTGTCAGTAACTGCGACAATTATCGTTAATATTCGATAATGGCGAATTGTAGTGACCATCAAAAGTAAACTAATTCCGCGCGGCCTCTATACACATTGCATTTAGCATCCGGTGAAATTGATAGATATATTTTCAGTGACACAACTGACCATGCTCCAACTCGCTTTTGTTATTCATCTCGTTTTAAAGACATGATTGTATATATGCTTTTAAAATGATATATTCTTGATTTTACTGCAGAAGTTGTTCCATTGCTAGAGATATCCGAACTGTCATGTTAAATTTTTTCAGGGGAATTTCGAACTGATGGTCATTCTTTATCTGTAAATGCTTCAAATATCTGTCTTCAAACAGCCAGTCAATCAGACCCTGTATGTATCAGGTGAAGAAGTCAAAAAAAAAAAAAATTTTCAATTTTCCTTGAAGTTGTTTCATTGGCCAAACAGCAATCACAATCAAAAGGTTCGCACCTAACTTTTGAGTAGTACCTTAGTATACGGGGATTATTGTATTTGTATTATGCGTGATAAACTGTTGTTTATGTAAGATTAAACTGTTTCAGTAATTTTCAGATTAAGTACTGTAATTTCGATTAAGCGTAACACGGACCACAAATCTAGGTCCCTTGAAACGTCCGTTCCATTCTGAGGAATCTCAAAACAGTAACGCAATTGTTTGTCGAGCTTCAATTTTGAAAGCAGGTAGGTTTAGGCAGAAAGGTGTCGATATGACTGCTGTAGACGTGACGATTTTTAATCTAAGGTAGAAATGCTAGAACTCCTATTTTTCTTTAAAAAAACCCCCAAAAAACGCGTTTTTTTTTTTTTGTTTAGCGGCATATTAACATCTATGCTGAAATGTAAATATTTTCTACAAAACTTATTTATTATTATTTTATTTTTTTATTTACTTTTTTATTTTTTTAGATAATAATGGTTTCATTGATACAAGTCTTACTAATTAAACCTATAGCTGGGGAGAGAGGTGGATACATACCTTTTACCAAGAGTATTTATGCGTAAATGAATACAACGAAGCCAACGAGAATTGAACCTTTTGCTCTTCCTTTTCCAATTCGGAGACGTTATCCATTACACCACCCGCACATCCAAGCTTAAAGCATCTGGTATTCCCAAGCGCTTACCCATCTAGATAGTGACCAGTTTCGACGTTGCTTAACTTCGGTGATCGTAGGGGAGCCGGTGTTTCCACGTGGTGTAGCTTATTTTGAAGTAACTGTTTGGATTAATTTTTTTTTTTTTTCCTTTCGAAAAAATGCTTGTTGAGCTCCGATTTATTTATTTTGAGAAATGCCCGGCGAGAACGTTAATTACGTAGAAGAATGCTTGTTTATAGAGTAGTTGTAACCCCCCCCCCCAAGTAGATAATAGCCTACATCACAATCAGGAAGACTTGTAAGATGTACATCCTCCATCTTTTATATTATTACAAATATACTTTTGCTGTGTGCATCTATCAATAATAAACTTTAATAATTCAAATCGATGAATAATTTGTCCATAAAATCCAGTTTGAAAAAGATTTATAACCATTTGTTGTCATTGAGAAATAAACACTTGAAAAAGCAAATTATTCCGTATGTGAGTTCGAATTCTCCCGGTATTTGTCACTTTTTAAGATAAGTTGGCTAAACTCGTTTATTTATTTTAACAGGTGCCTTAAAAATATGAATAAGATTTATTTTGTGGCGAGACATTCAATGAAGTTGAATTTTTGTTAAAATGTTAACTTTTTTTTTTTCTTTTTTTTTTATTACAATGCATGACTTTTACATTTTATTTCTGTTCTCAACTGTTACGTGTTACGGCAGCTTTTTTTTTTTTTTTTTTTGTTTTGTTCCATGTGTGGATAAGTCAATGTAAATGTGGAGACTAGTTTTGCTTGTTGCCAGCGGTGGTATGTTGATGACATCTCTTTACACTATCGACAGTCAGTAGACGTTGACTAGTGTTAATGGTGGTAGGAAAGAAAACGTATTATTAGTTTAGTTAGCAGACAGTACTGAATATTCGGCGTTGGTTTGTTTAAGCAAGTGAATCGGCACACGGTAATGTGTGACATAGAACTCGGCGCGCACCATAAACACAACGTGACATTTACCCCCTTTTGGTCGTTATGGAACACCGTACTCTCTTTTAGTTTTAAAATGTAACCACCTTTCATCTAGAATTCATATTTGCTTACCAACGTGCCCACCCACTATTTTTGTAGACATCCTTGTCAAATGGTTTTTAAATCTTTCTAAACGATCTTTTGATGTTGTTAACGTTTTACTCTTTTCTACCTCATTGCTTCACCGTAAAAAGAATACATTGGGGCGGGGGTCATGGTTGCTTTTACTTAAAATGTCTATATCATATATATAAATAATAATGAAAATTTGAGGGAATTTTTTTTTTCTTGTGCTTTCAGTGATCATTTAAGTTTCCATATACTCTCCCCGACTCGCGTAGACTTCGCTCATGATTATAGGGGCCACGGCTCTCATAACCCCACGTGTTACTGATAAGGTTTCCGTAATAAGTAGGTTCTTACGGAAAAAAGTTGCTATCCCCATATTCGGTCGGTTTTTGAATTCAGTAGTCCTAGTTGACAACCAAGTCTTAAATGCTATTTAACCCATAGGTGGGGGTGATGGAGAGTGGATTAATACCTTTACCCAGGAGTATTTCCGCGAAAGGGAATGAAATGGATTCGGCTCACCAGTTTTCTCGTTCTGGTCCACTAACCATTGCACCTCCAGTAATTAACGACTGTTATCATAATTGAGTATCAAAAGCGGGTAGAGCAAAAATGAAATAAAATTGCTTCAATGTAAAATAAAATATAAGCCTAAAGCAAACAGTCAGTATTTTGGCAAAGCTTTGTTTTTTTCTTAAAACCTCCGAACGTTCATTGATACGAGGGTAGGTTGAAAATTTCATAGGTCGACCTTGAAGGGGGGTGACGTTAGAACTGTGAGATCTTTGCCTGCATTAATTTACTTTTTGCTTATCGATAACGGCATTTTTTTTTTTACCAGGTAAACTTATTCTTCAAAGAAGACTTCAAATTTAATTAGTAGCGACTACTTCTGAAAATTGACAAAATTTGGTATCGTGAAGAAAAAGGTTTACTTTACATTATTTGGACTATTGTCCTCATCTTTGTCGCCATATTTATTACAACGTTTTGTCTGTTGTACGCTCCGGCCTTCTACAGGTCGTTGGAATGTCGAAATGAACCCTTTATTTCGCTCACTGGGGTAGACTGTCCTAGTTCCACGTACCAAGTTTATTGGATGTCACTTATCAGTTATCTCCTGTTAATTTCCCTCTGCAAGTTCTCCACTGCCTTAACCGGGTATTGAACTCACACTCTTTGGGTCCTATCACTGGATCTAAGCAACGCTTTTATCCACTGTGCCGTGTGTCTTTGAGAAGAAGGCCGGAGCGTACAATGACCGAAACGTTGTAATAAATATAGCGTCAAAGATGAGGACAATAGTCCGAATAATGTAAATAGTGTACATAATACCTCATCTCAGAAATATAGACAGATACAGAAAATGGTTTAGTCCCAAAGACAGTCATACTGACATGGTTGTTACATTAAGGGATAACGCTCCAGTTTTTTCAACAGTGCAGGAGTGAGCAGCCGAATTTAAGGAAAAGGAATTTTGAAGATTTCACCAACAGTATGAAAGGGCTTTCACCAATGAGATCCAAGAACTGCAACACAGATGGAAGACATGGGGGATTATGTGTTTGTTGTTTTTTTTTTTGGGGGGTCACGTTCCAGGAGAGTGTCTTGGTCAACCTATGAACTTTCTAGCCGATCTTCGTAGAATACTTGATGAAAAATTGACACACTGTCGTAAATTTGAGATTTCGAAGTGACGACTGCTATTTATTTAGTGCAACGAACAGAATAATTTCAGTTTTAATATCCAGTATTCGCCAAGAATAATCTGATTCTATGATTATCATTTCAAGTTTTAGCCAATTCGGTTATACTTTAAAGATTTGCCTAAGGTCTTACGATTTTTTTCTTTTTTATATACTAACAAAGACTTGTTTTCGAGTAAATGACCCTTATTTGTAAACTCTACGCTTGCTCATTACTATTAAGTTCTTTCTCTTTTGCGGCCAACCTCAATGTTGGCTGGTTTCAACTGCTATCTTTCCCTACGATCATGAATAAAAAATGATGTTTTACACGTGCCACAAGTACGCATACCATCTTGGGATTTTACTTGTTGGTACCGACACGAAGAGTTTGAAAGTAGCACGGACACTTATTAAGAAAATACTTATAAGTTCTTTCGCGTTTTGAAAGTTTGGTTTATGAAATCTGCTGACGAGGAAGATAGACATTATACTGCAAACAGGTTGCACGTTTCATTCGTGTACCTCAAGCAATACTGATTACATACACCATAGACCAGATCTGAATGGAAAAGTGTAGGTTTCCTGAATTTGTAATTAATGGCTGGCGCTTTAGGGTATTTTGAATTCAGTTTCCTCATAGAGTTCTGGGATTAGATATATAAAGTTTTTATTTATTTATTTTTCCCGGGTTATACATCTCAACTTAATCTTTCGAGAAAATATAACAGAATTTCCGTTAATCCAGGCCATCAATATTTACCATGAAGGCAAATTGACATTTTGTCATTTCGAACTAGTCATCCTCATTTACTTTTACTCGGTTCTGTAGAACTTGCATGAGAACTTTATTTTAAGGTTCGTATTTGAAAATTGTCACATTTCGGTCGAAACTAATTTCTACTGAATTGAGCATAATTTTGTTAGGAAAAAAAAAAACGTCGGGTCGGCGTTCATGGTTTGTAATACTTGATTTTTTTTTTACTTAACTAGTTTATTTCTGGGTTCACATCTCGCTCGTGCTTAGCGCCGATTATTTTCTCTTTTAAAAAAAAACCGTTTACTATTTTACTGCCGCATTGAACCCTCTGTTACATATTGCAGCTGATAGATCGTTTTTTTTTCTCTGTGTTATCTCTACTCCTTTTCAATACTCAGTGTGCTCATCGCCTTTAACCATGTGCTCCATCTGTCCATAACCGTTAATTACTAAAATTTGATATTAAATAATTTTTCGTAAACTATTCGAATTAGAAAAAGCGCCATCTTAAATTGTTGCTCCTACAGATAGCTGAGAAAAATCTTTTTTTTAATGGGATTAAGTGTTATCACTGCTTGTCACTTGAAAACCTAAAAGTAGATATTCGTTTGTGTTGTTTTTAAGCCTTAAAATCTGGCACAAGGTGGCTGATTTTTGTTCATTCTAAAACATAATTGACCTAATTTCCAGACTCGTTTTCCCAAAATCTATTCAACAAATACACTGAGACTCGGGTTTCAAATTGTATCTTTGAATTTCATTTGAGACTATGTGAACGGCAGAAGAGTCTACAATGTATTGTCTACAATATTTTTTTTTCTTTACCAAGTTTCATGTTTATTATAAATCACTGTTTGGAAATAATTTATTTAATTTTCCTGATTTGTGTTTTTTACAAATTTATCCTGATTGCCTTCCCCCCCCACTTTTTGTGGGTGTGATTGTTTACTTTTTGTGAGTGTGATTCAGTTTAGTATGCTTTAACTTGCGGAAATTGAACTAGTCTCATTCTCAAAACTTAAAACCAAGTGTCTTCGTGTTTCGATTGAAATCTGTTATTATTTCTTTCATTGTTCATTTAAAATATTTTCCCCATAAGATGTCATTCTACAGTTGATTGTTACCACCGTCTTTTTCGATAGCCAGAACTAATTTTAGTCTACGTTTCACCATACTCAGGATTTTTCTGTCAATAATAAAAAAAAATACTGTAATAGTCATCTTACCGACAGTAAATTGACATGGCAAACACTTTATTTTTCATCCTCCGAATATGTAGAAATATTGGAAAAAGACTTGCACTAAGTTTTAGTAAAGATGTTTTACCTAGACGATTGTTTTCTCTAAAATAAATTTAATGTCTTCGATTTCAACTGTTGGTTCATCTTTGATTTAAGGGATGGCTTCTTTAAAAGGGTCTCGTAGAACTCCTGTAACGCCATATTGAGCAACGAAGCTCATTGTTCCGACCTTAATTCGTAAACAAAGTCTCTTCTGAAATTAGCATTTGCAGCGTGAAATTTTGATTCCAGAAATCTTAAATCCTAAATGAATATTGGAAGAACCCACCAAGAGTCAATAGGTTTTTTTTTTGGTTTTTTTTATTTTAAATTTGGTTTTAACCATTGTAAAGGAATTTCGTAGATAGATATTTGGTACAGATGTTACATTTATACTGTGTACTAGTGTACAAAATTTGCAGAGGTGTGTGACGGTAAAAAAGAAAAAGTACTAGCAGGGGTGCGGTAAACGAATGTAAACTCTAAAGAAAGCTTTTCGTTCACTGATATTTATTGGAGAAAATACGGAAAAAATTTAACTTTGCGTTGGATGATTATTATTTTTATTATTATTAACAACAACAACAACAAAAGAAAACAATTTTTAATTGTCCCTACAAAGCTAAAGAAGGGTAAATGAAATGTTTCATTTAGGATAATGCAAAAATTCATTTGAACCTTTCTCTTTCAACTTGTCCTTATTCCGAGGGTCGGTAGGGCTGCATGGTAGTCTACAATTCTCTTACCTCCCCCCCCCACTTTTGAGCAAGCCATTATTGTCTGTGTTCATTAAATGGTTTTGGTTATTTGATATCGATTTAACGAAAAAGTGTTAGAGCTCTTTCATTTCTTTATCCCTTGAGAGTTGAATGTAGTTGATTTGGGGAGATAGCTATACGGCTAGAAATAATCTTTTGCCATAGTAATATGAATATATTAGTTAATAGTACAAAAAGTTTTGGAAACTTTTTTTTTCTCCAATAATATTAATGCTTGATTGCATTATTAGTAAGCAAGAACGTTGGAGCTGTTAGACTTATCTAAAGTACATCCTTTTGATGAAGCGATCTGTATCACAGATAATCGATATGCTACTGTAACTCAAAGCTTCTGATTCCGCAAATTTATGATCAGCGTTACCTCAGATGACATACCTTCGCCGAATTTTTTATATTGCTTTAACAACTGGTAAGAAGCGAGGCATTAAATTTGATAGTATCCGGTGTTTTTAATTGGAAACTTAAGATTTTTAAATTTAATTTTGAATTTTTTCATTTATATTAAAACGAAAATACAATTTATATATTTTCTTTCTTACAGTTTAAAAATATAGGTAGTTTCGTTGACTTGTTAATTCTATTCTACAAAAAGTAAATTTTTAAATATTTCTTATTTCATTAAAATATCTTTAAACATTTTAAGACAAAACAAATTTTGAAATAAACTGATTAAAAAACAAAAACAGTTGACAAGTTTGTAGTTCTTAAATTTAGACTCCAGATTCTTCAAAAACGATCGACAATCAATTTAATTAATAAAAAAAAAAATGAAATTTTACATCTTCAACCAGTTCGTTTATTGGAAGCATTGAAATACCCAGATACTTTTGAATCGGATTTACTTATATCGCCAACACTTACACCTCATAAAGAACATTAACTTTTTATTTTATCTTTTCGAAAACCAGAAGAATGACTAAAAAAAAAATAATAATAATGAAGAGCGTAAAGTTTCCCAAAAGTAGATGGAAAAAAATCTCTCCATTTTTAAGAGTAAAAGAATTTCTCAAAGACTATTGCTTGGCATTCTTGTCGCCTCCTGTCACTGATTTATACAAATGCCAAATTAGCAAGCGTTCTTTTCGGGACGCACATTTGAACTTAGCCTTTGATGACTTTCAGATATTTTAAAATGTTTGAAATGTTCTCTGCTACTGACATTCAAACATACGTTTTTTTTTTTTTTTTTTTTTTTTTTTTTTTTTTAGTTGTCATGACTTACAGCCGTAGGTTAAAGCGTGAACGGTTCAAAACGAGAAAAGCAGTAGAAATACCCAAGCTAAGCAGGAATTCCTGCAATTAACGGAAAATTACCACGATAGTTCATAAAACATTTAAAAATGAAATATGGATTTGTTTTTGAGTGGCGAATGTCAACATTAAACTATCAAATTACAAGTGTTGAATATACCAACAATGAATGGTCTGGACAAGTATTAAACAAAAAAAAAAATCTCTTGGTAACACTTCTGGACGAAGTAAACTTGGGAGCGAGGTGAAAAATTTGATTAAGAAGCCCAAAGATCTATTCTTAGAAAATCTCAAATTCTAAAGAAATAGCCTTTTTTTTTTTTTACGTGACTAGCCACAACTGCGTTCTTGTCCAATAATGTACTTTTATGAATTAACACCAGAAAGTGTGCGCCTCAGTCCGTTCGACATTCCGTCGTAACACAATGAATGTCGATCATCGTTTTCGTTTTGCGCGTAGAATTAAGCGTCACGTGATACCCCCCTCCTTTGTACTGTAAGTACTTTTGTACTGTTCTTCTTACCCAAATAATAGTACTTACTACATATTTACATGTAGCTATCTATAATAAATCGTTTCATTATTACATTGTTGTTATATACTACTACTGCTGTTGAGTGTTTTCTAACGATGTTGGTTCGTGGCATTTTTGTCTTATTGTATATTTTATAGTCGTTTCTACGAAAGTAAAAAAAAATAGTGTGTCGATCGATAAACATGCGATATCTATCTATATATCTAAATCTCTCTCTCTCTCTCTATATATATATATATATATATATATATATCGCATGTGTTACTATTTCACAATTTAAATTTATTAGTAGGTCACTCTTGATCAGTCACGTGGTTATATAGTGAAATCAAAGATTTTGCAATTAAAATGATCGCCAACTTTCCGAATATTTTCCTTTTTAATCCCTACCTATTTCTAAGTGATAAAAAATTATATAATTAAATTCGTTCGATACAATACCGAGCTAAATTTTTATTGGTTTATTTAATTTTTTTATTGCATTTCAATAATTGTTGCCTTTTTTTTTCTTTTAAAATAAACAGTTATAAAAAATAAATAAAAATAGACTGTAATTTTTTTCCTTTCTCCTCACCCCCCAATCGTAGCCTTTCATTTTATTGCCATTATGCCAGTAGGGGTTTTTATGTAAGCTCAACCACGAAAATGATTTTCTGTACTACTAGTTGTGTAGTAGTAGTGTTACCTTGCTTTTGCCACAGCACTGTAGTGGTTTTATGTCTTCGACGCCTAGTGTAGATCATAGTGTTTATATATTGTCTTCTTTTTACAGCCAAATTGATTCTCATTTGAACAAAAACATTGCAGTGAGGTCACTTTTTCCCTAATTTAGGATGTGGATCCTTCATTTTTAAGGACTTTCTGCGAGTAAGTAGTTTGGGGA